TCTAAGTTCTCTCCCAGCTCTGACATCCTGTGTTCTAAGGGCCCTCCAAACTCTGACATCCTGTGTCCTAAGGGCCCCTCAGCTTTGACATCCTATGTCGTAAGGGCCTTCCCAGCTCTGATATCCTGTGCTCTAAGGGCCCTCCCAGCTCTGACATTCTGTGTCCTAAGGGCCCTTCCAGCTCTGACATCCCTGTGTCCTAAGGGCCCCCCAGCTCTGACATTTGGTGTCTGTGGTTCCAGAGGGGTCACCTGGATAGCGGATTCTGCCAGGCTAGGGCTCAGGGTCCTGATGAGAGGGGTGCCCCTCCTCCCCCCAGCTCAGAGGCTGGGTGCTGAGTGCTAAATGAGGCTCTCAAGGCTTGTCAGGAAGCCCTGGAGAGGTCCCTCTTCCTTCCAGCTGCAGTTTTCCCTGTACCACTTATGTGCCACAAGCAATCAGGGACCTCAATTGCCAGCAAAGATGGCTGAGGAGGGGAAGGCGGGGGTGGTAAGGCACCGGGCTATGTACGATCAATGCCTCTAGCTGATGAGGGGTGTGAGAATCAGCTCTCACCTCCTCCCTTGTTGCCTAGGCTGGAGGATAAAGGAACAGCTGGAAAGGGCTGAGAGCAGGGGGCCTGCAGGCTAAGGGCGTCCAGAGGCCAGTGGATGCTGGGGCACGCAGCCCTGGAAAGCCCTCACCAGGCTAAATAGATGGCAGGAGACTCCTCTGGGAGGTCCCTAGCTGGCCCCACTGCTAGATGGGAATGACTAGGGATCCAGGGGGATTCTTCTCTGGGACGGGCCTGGCTCAAGGCTGAGGGTGGGGGTGCTTCCCAGGCCCTGGCCTTCATGGTCAGCCCCTCAGCCTGAGGCACCGGCCCAGTGGGTGGTTTTTGGGTAGTCTGAGGCTGTCTCCTGGGGCAGGTGGGCAGTGACGGATCCTCCTGCCTGATGCACTGATGGGCAGGGCCCCGGGGGAGGCAGCCTCCAATTCACTCGGGCTCGTTAATGTGCAATTTACGGGCACTTTAACGCTCTCAGCATGAAAAATGATCCTGCTGCTCTAGGCTCCCTCTCGCTCTCTCCCTCTTCTCTGCTGTGCACTCAATGGCTTCCCCCCACCCCTTCCCTCCAAAGGAGGTCTTTGAGGAGGAGGCAGGCAGGGGGTGGGGGAGGGGGGCTGGATTTTTGTTCCTTCTTTAAAGGCCAGGAGAAGCAGGGGTGGGGGCAGGGCAAGCAGGAGATAAGTCTAAGGAGCAGTGGCCCCTACCACCCATAAAGCACTGAATGTCAGACTTGGAAGGACCTTTAGGATTGAGAATGTCAGAGGTAGAAGGGCCCTGAAGAACCCAGAATGTCAGGGCTGGGAAGGCCCTCAGAACCCAGAGTGTCAGGGGTGGGAGGGCTCTCAGAACCCAGAGTGTCAGAGGTGGGAGGGCCCTCAGAACCCAGAGTGTCAGAGCTGGGAGGGTCCTCAGAACAGAGGATGTCAGAGCTGGAAGAGCAAAGAACTCTGAATGTCAGAGCTGGGAGGCCAAGGATATTCCCCGTTCACCCTTCTCTAGAGCACACATCTCCCTCTGTGATGCAGAGGGTACCAGGTGGGAGGGTCAGAAGATCCGAGTTCTAGTTCCTGGCTATACGGCTGTACTGAGAGATCCAGGGCAAGTCCCTCGATTTTCTGGCCCCCATGTCCTTGGTCACCCAAAGGAAGGGGCTGGACCATGACTGTCACCCCTGAGGGCCCTTCCCCCCTCTGCATAGTCGGCTCTGGAAGCCCACGCTGGAGTGTGGCAGTGAGGGGCTGGTAGAAGACGATGCAAGGATCTTGCTGCTCCCCTGCCCTGACTCAGGGTCCCAGGCCGGGCCCTCAGTCCTTCTGACAACTGCTCTGCTAAGAGCCCCCGGACAAATGTTTGGGCAGGACCCAAGCCTGCAGGCCAGGCCCTGGTCACCAGGTCCCTCCACTCTCCCTCAGCAGCCATTGCCTGTCAGCCCAGCCTCCGCTCAGGCCCCTGTGAAAGCACAGACAGGGCCCTGGCAGGCAGCCAGCAGCACCTGGGATCGGATCTCCGTAAATACTGCTGCCTAGGAGCCCCTGGGCCAGATGAGACAAGGATGGGCAGGCAGGGGAAGGAAGGGAATGGGGGGAGGATGGTGGCAGCTTTGCTGGAAAGAGAAGCCACAAGAATGCCCAGGAGGCCCCCCTACCTGCCTCCCACCCCCAAAGCTGCTGGTGGGTGGGCCACCTCCCACCCCCAGAGCCCAGGAGACTTCCTGGAGGAGGGAATGGGGACCAGAGCCATCAAGGCCACTCACCTGCTTATGCATTTCGATGTTGAGGCCATAGGACATCTCGTAGTACTGCAAAGAAGGCGAGCACGGAGATGGAGGGCAGACAAAGGCACACGCTAGCCCCTTGGCCTTCCCAAAAGGAGCTGTCCTGAGCCCCCTACCCCCCTACTCCCCCACAGGACTTCCCACCCCTGGCCAGAGGACAGCTCACCATGACATAGTGCCTGTGAATCTCCGTCTTCTCTGATGCCAGCTTCTCACACTCCACCTTCAAGCTAAGGGGCAGATGAAAGTGATGAGTGAGGGCCCCTGAGGCAGGCCAGGCTCAGGAAGGGGGCTACCCACCTATTAGAGCACTCACGTAACACGGAGCACAAGGGGCTCACAGCTGCATCCAGAGGAGGGCTCACACAAGGCCAGGAGCCCAGCCCCAGGAGGAAAGGGAGAGGGGCCTCAAGGAGAGCGTCAGAAGTAAGGGATGATCTAGTTCAATACCTTCCTTTTAAAGATGGAGAAGCCTGGGCCCAGAGTGGGGAAGGCTCTTTTCCAGCCGTCACACAGCAAGTCAGTGGCAGCTTCAGAATTGGAACTGACATTTTTTCCAGGGCTCTTTCCACTGTACCAGATGAGGCTGTATTGGGGAGGTGGGGGGGGGGAGAGGAATGGAGATCCTTGGGAGCTTGGAGAACTGGGGATTCCAGCTAAAAGGGATCATAGGGGAGAAGGGATCTTGGCCAAGATCACACAGCTGGCAAGAGTCAGCATTCACACCCAGGTATTCCTGACTCAAAAATCAGGGGCCTGTGGCCAAAGGGTAACCCAAGGCTGCCTGGGCTGGTCAGTCTCCTTGAGCCCCATGCCTGTCTCTTGACCTCTACCCAAGATCCTAAGCCAAGGTCTTCCTTCTTCTCAATCCCCATACCTGTGGTATTGGCTTTGAAGGAACTGGAATTCTTCCTTGATCCGATCCAATGTCTCTGGGTAGGTGAGTTTTAGAGTCTGGGGGGTGGTGGCTGAAGCATTGGTGGTGACGAGCACAGCTGCCGCTGAGGCCACTGGTGGCGCTTGAAGGTGGGTCTATAGTGGTGGTGGTGGGGGCAAAGGTTCAGTCAGTCAGCACCCACCCCTGGCCCCCAAGACACCAGAAGACAGCCTTTCTACATAAGTGGGAAAGAAAACACAGCTCTGGTGCCTATACCCAGGGGGTGGAAATGAGAGGGTCTCATTATGAAGACAACTGAATCTCAGAGAGATCGAAGTCACAAAGGTTTTAAGTTGACTGAGTCAGAATTTGAACCCAATGCTCATTTCTTTAAATTAAAATCCAAGACTATTTTGGAGACATCAGATTACTCATAACCAGTCACTTGGGGTCAGAGTTAGGATTTGAAGAAGGTTGCTGCCAGGAAGTATGTGAGCTGGGACTCAGACCCAGGACTTCTAATTCATGTTGTCCGAGATAGGAAAGGGTCTTGGGGACCCTTTAGTCCAATACCTTTCTTTTACGAATACTGAGACCCGGAGAGGCAACTATGGGATTTGTCTGAGGTCACACAGTGAAGTCAGTATAAGAGCTATTAATTACCCCAGGTTGGGGTTCCCTTTCTTCTCTCCCCCCAATTAGTATCCTCAAACCCTGGCAGTCCCAATGGGAATGAGGCAGCAGGCACCTAAGCTGGTAGGGACTAAGCAGGGGTCCCCAGGACAGCTCTGAAAGCAGGACTCACCAAAGGCGGCCTGTTCTGGGGAAACATCTTCAGCCAGAGTGAGCAGCCCTCCGTCTTATCCACCAGCCACCTCTCTGGCTACTAGATCCAATCTCTGGCCCTTTGCCCAGGCCCTCGGACAGGCTCCAGCTCGAAACCGCCAAGGCTGCTGCCAACGGGTTCTGAAGGCAGCCGGCTGCACTGGGCTGGAAGAAGGAAAAGGGAAGAGGGGGAGGTGTCCCCTGCTGTGCCACCCTCAGTGCAGGGCCCTAGGTGCTATCTGGGGACAGCGCTGGTGATAATCACCCCCCTGGCTGCACTCTGAACTCAGGGCTTTCTCATCCCCCCTCCTGGCCAGGCCCTTCCAGCTCCTGCCAGCAGCCTCTCCACCTGCTGTCCAACTCCAGCCTGGCACAGGCCCAGAGCTGGCCAGCCTGGGGCGAGTAGGCCACTTTGGCCAGCGTCCCTCTTCCCCAGCTCAGCACTCCTCTCCCCAGTGCCAACCCCCCCCAGCTCTGGCTCCCTCTCCCTCCTCTCCAGCCATACAATGGCCCTCCTCCTTTCTTTTTCCTTCCCTTCTTCCTCCCCCTTTCCTCCTCTCCTTCCTCCTTTCCCTCTTCCCTTCTTCCTTCCTTTCTTCTTCCCTTTCCTTTTCTCTCCTTCCCTCTTTCCTTCTCATCCTTACCCCTCTCCACTTCCACCTATATCTATCTTCACTTGTCCCCTTCTCTCTTCCTTTCCCCCAGTCTCTCCTCTTCCTTATTCTCCCCTCTCCTCCATTCTTTCCCTCTCCTCTCCCCCTTCTTCTCGACTCTTTCCTCCTTCCCTTCCTCTCTCCGTCTTCCCCCACTCTCCTCTCCTCTCTTCTTCCTCATTCTCCCCATCCTCTCCCACTGGCTTCTCTTTTCCCCTGCTTTCTCTCCCTCACTCTCTCTTCTCCCTTACTCACCCATTCTCTCCTTCTCTCCTCCTCTCCCCTACTCTCCCATCCTCTCCCTCTTCTCCCTTACTCCCATTCTCCCCCCCCTCTTCCCAGCGCCCCCCCCCGGCCCCGTCTCCCACCTCCCTCTCAGGGAAGGGAGGGGACAGGAGGGGATGGGAGGGGAGGGAGCAGGAGGTCGTCCCCCTCGTTCCCCCAGGACTCACCCGGCAGGCTGGGGCACGAGGAGGAAGGACGGCCGTCGGGGGCGGAGGCTCGGCGTCCCCAGCCCAGCCGGGTCCGGTCCGGCCAGGCCCGCTCAGCTTGGCGCCCGCGGGGGAAGGGAAGGGGGGAAGGCGAAGGCCGAGGCCAGGAGCGCCTGGAGCCCCCCGAGCTGGCCTGCGCTGCTCGGTCCCGCTCGGCTCCGCCCCGTCCCGGTCCAGCCCCAGCCCCAGCCCCAACCTCGGCTCGGCCTCCCCGCCCCCTCGGCCGCCGCTGTCGCCGCCGCCGCTGCCGCCGCCTCCTCCTCCTCCTCCTCCTCCTCCTCCTCCTCCTCCTCCTCCTCCTCCTCCTCCTCCTCCTCCTCCTCCTCCTCCTCCTCCTCCGGGCCGCCCTCCCCGCTCCGCTCGGCTCCGCCCCCGCCCGCCCCGCCTCCCCCGCCTCCCCCGCCTCCCCGGGCAGCAGAAGCAGCAGCGGCTCTGCGGGGAAACTGATCAATGAACGCGCGCCAGGTCCACGTGGGCCGGGGCTCGTGCGGGCCAGCGCCGAGCCGGGCCGGCCAATCAGGGCGCCGCGGGGGCCACCGTGCCCCCACGTGGGGCCCCCTCGCTGCCACCGCCGCCCGCGCCCATTGGCCAGCTCCAGAGTTCCGCCCCGGGAATGTGTCAATCAGCCCGGAGCCTGCGGAGCGAGCAAGCGGGGCTGGGGATTTAACCCTTGACTGGATGGTCTGGGATGGAGGTGTTTTGTTCCAGGAAAAGGGAGGAGGGGGGAGAGTGGGAAAGGGAGAGGATTGTAGGACAATTGTGGGAGGAAGCCGGGGCGTCAGCCTAGGATTGACAGTATTAAAACAGAGATCCAGGATGGGCCTTTAGAGCTGGGAATCTTAGAAATCATCCCATTGTTTTTCTCTCCGGGGAAACTGAGGTCCAGAGCCCGGAAACGATTTGCCCAAGGTTGTCCAGCTCCTGAGCCGCCTAATCTAGACTGGAACTCCTGCCTTTTGGCTCTGGGCCCAGAGCTCCCACTCGACTTAATCCTCCCCCACAGCCCAGGGAGATCTCGAGGGCAGGAATGGTTAATCCGTTTGACAGATAGGGCAATTGAGGCCAGGAGAAGGGAAGTGTCTCAGCCCGGGTCAAGGAATGTACTACCTGAGAGTTCGAGGGCTTGACTCCACCCCGAAGGTTGCCCCTCTTCTGAGAAAGGTAGAGAGAGGATCATCAAAAGCTTAGCCTTTCCTGCATCCCCCATCCATCCTTCTGGGCTTTCCCCAAGATCTCACCCTGAGCTCAATTAGTGGAGTCATGGGGCGGTGGAGGGGCGGGGGGAGTGGGATGGGAGGGGGCTGGGAAGGAGCTGAGTTTCCTAACGAATTAGCCCAGAGATGGTCAGTCCCATCAGGGGCCTGTTTCCCAGGTCTAAGGCCAGCCCTTCCTCCTTCTCTGGGTAATTACTGCTCCCTAGGGACTGGGTTGGGCCAGGATGGGTTGGGGGGGGATGGATTAGGGAGGGGAGAGCGAGAGGGAGGAAGGGCGGCCTATCCGCTCCTGAGTCCTACCATCTCCACCACCTGTCCTTGCTCTTGCTGACCCAGCCTGGCGTCTCTCCTCCCCAGCCATCCATTGAAGTGGGGCAGGCTGTAAAAGCTAGCTCCCTGGATCTGGGCGTTCAGGCTAACAGGATGAGCCAGGCCCTGTACACTCCTATTGCCCTCCACAACCCCCTATCTCCTGGCATGGCTTTGTGCGTTGGACTGTCTCCCAAATGTTAACAGACTCAGGCCCCTGCAAAGAACAGCAGACGATTATTAATCACCTACTGGGTACAGAGATGCTGGGAGAGATACAAAGTTTAAACAGGCAGGAGACCTGGATTCCACATTTTGTTCTCTCACACTGATCAAATAAAATAATGCATATAAAGCCCTTTGCAAGCCTTGGCTAGGTAAACGACATCTCCCTTTCTTAGGGTTACTTAATTATTATGTAATACTCTCTGTGTGATCTCTGACCAGTACCGTTCTCTGGAAAACAAGGGTGACACAGTGGAAACGGAATCAAAGGACCTTGGGTTCAAATCTCACCTCTGACACTTGCTACCTGGGTCACCCTGTCCCATTCTCTTCACCTGGATGGAGATAATTTTCCTCTTCTGTTAAATGATGGGATTGGATTACATGGCGTCTAACACCCCGCCTAGCTCTGAATCTACGAGCCTCATCCTTCTCATGCTTTCCAGTAAGGAAATTACTTTGTGAGAGCTGTTGTGACATTATTATTCTGTCACCAAAACCCTTCCCCCAGGCCCAACAAAGGGCCTCGGCTCCCAGCTTGCTGGCCTAGGCCCATGGCTGACTTGTCATAGCCAGAATAAGTCTGAACCAGCCGCCGCCAGACCTGGGCCATAGCAGGGCAGAGCTAGGTTAGACGCTGGGAGTGATGATCACAGCAGATGTCACTTGTGGAAGCCCTTAAAGGCAGCTGGGTGCAATGTAAAGAGCGCTGACTCAGGAGGCAGGGGAATTGGGTTTGAGTCCCATCTCTACTAGTGCCGAGTGACAACCCCTTTCTCTATGGTCTTCAATCTCTCCCTAGCTACTGGCTCCTTCCTCGCCGCCTACCCACGAGCCGCTTCTTCCCCATCCTAAAAGAACCTCACCTAACCCAACCATCCTACCTGGCTATCATCTTATATACTTCTCTTCCCCTTCCTAATTAAGCTACTTGAGGGGGCCATCCCTAATTGGTGCCCCTTTCCTATTCTAAACCTGCTACATTTCTGGATTTTGACCTCATCATTCCTCTGAAACTGCTCTCTTTCCGAAGTTACCAAGGATCCTCTTCATTGCCAAATCTGATGGCCTTTTTTCAGTCCTCATTCCTCTTGACCTCTCTGCAGCCTCTAAGACTGTCGATCACCCTCTTTTCCTTGATGCTTTCCTCTTTCTAGGTTTTTATGACACTGTTCTCTCCTGGTTCTCCTGCTTAGTTTTCGTTGCTGGATCTTCTTCCGGGTCATGCTTACTAACCTTGGATGTCCTCCAAAGGTCTGTCCTGGGCTCTCTTCATCTCAACGTGGTGATCTCATCAGTTTCTGTAAATTTACCAATCATCTCTATGCTGATGGCCCCCAGATCTATCTATCAACCCTACTTTCTCTCCTGAGTCTTTCGTCACCAACCAACTAACTGCCTTTTGGATATCTTTTAACTGTAGTTATCTCAAGCTCAGTAGGTTCAAAATGAAACTTTTCCTACAAAACCTCTTTTCTGAACTGCCCTATTAAGGGCACTAGCATCTTCCCAGTCACTCAGGCTGGAAAGCTAGGTGTCTTCCTGCACTTTTCACTCTCATTCATCTGCCATAGGTAATCTGTGCCAAGTAGGGTTTTTACCTTCACAACATAGCTCGTGTACTTCTCACCCGGCCACCCCCTGGTACAGACCTCCATGGCTTCACACTTGGACTATTGTAGTAGTCTGCTGGTGCGCATGTCTGCCTCAGATCTTTCCCCACTCCCATCTATCCTCCATTCTGCCACTAAAATGATTTTCCTCAAGCTCAGGTACTATTATGCCTCCCTTTACTCAATCAACTCCAGTGGTTGCCTATTGCCTCCAGGATCAAATACAAAATGCCAATGGGCATTTGCAGCCCTTTACCACGGGCCCCTTCCTGCCTTTCCGTTCTTCCACATACTCTCACTGTAACTCCTTACTCTTTTTCCTACATGACACTTTGCACTGACTGTCCCCCTCCTGACCTCCCACTCCTGACTTCCCAGGCCTCCTTCAAAACTCAACTTCAACCCTACTTTAGCCAAAAGTCCCCTCCCCACCCTCCACAGTTAGTACCTTCCAGCTGAGATCATCGCCCATTTACACTTTGTATGTCTTGTATGTTGGTAGTTATTTGCATATCGTCTCCCCCATTAGAATGTGAGCTCCTTGAAGGCTGGAACTTTTTTTGGCCTTTCTTTGCACCCCCAGAACTTAGCACAATGCCTGACATATAATAAGCACTTACCAAAATGTTAGTGGACAAACCGAATTAATCTCCTTGAGCCTCATTATCTTTATCTAGCCAGCATCTATATAGCACTTACTATGTGCCAGGCACTGTGCTAAATATTGTACAAAGCACTGCCAAATGGAGAGTCATTCTCTTAGTCCTTATCTGTCTTGACCCCTCTGCAAGCTTCTTGATATTGTTGATTTCTTCCCACTCCCAGATCCTCTTTCTTCCCTTGAGTTCTGCTCTGATGCTGCCCTCTCTCAATTTTCCTCCTACCTATCTGACCAATCCTTCTCCATTTCCTTGGAGTCATCCCTGATTCTCCCCTTTCTCTCCCTTTACCCCATCCCCACGTTCCCAATATTTAATGAGTTGCAAAGTCTTGTTGATTTGACCTCCATGCCATCTTTTTCATCCATCACCCTTCTCTCCACTCCTAGGGATTAGGGAAGTAATAGGCCCATTATCCTCTGCCCAGATCAGGCCACGTCCCTGTTTTATTCCCATTTTACAATTGAGGAAGCTGAGGCAAAGAGAGGTTAAATGACTTGCCCAACATGACACAGCTAGTAAGTGTCTGAGGCCAGATTTGAACTCAGGTTTTCCTGACTAAAGATGAACGATCTTTCTATTGAGGCTCCCTATCTGCTTACAAACAATGTAAAATGAAGGCTTTGGACTCAGTAGCGAATGGCCTCTGAGATCCCATTTTGGATCTATTAGCCCATATTTCATAGGATCCTATAACAGATAAGATATCCATCTAAGATAGACGTCCATTCCCAAGTGATAACCCTTCAAATTTGTGAACGTTTCTAGAGTGTGGGTTCAAAATCAAGCTTCTTTCACTTACTACTTGGGTGACCTTGTCACAGGGAAGGTCACTTAACCTTTGTCTGTAAAATGAAGGGGATGACCTCCCCCCTGCCCCTGAGATTCCAGCTTTGAATCTATCATCTTCTGATCATGCCAAACATCCTCATTTCCTCTGTGTGACTTTGATATGATGTGAACTGGAGGGCATCTTTATTGCTTCTAGCTCACCACTCAATGTCCTTTCTAAAGGACG